TCACTGTATACCATGATAAACAGTTCCGATAAATGAACCACATTCCATTCCTAAAAAAAAAAAAAATCCACTCAGCCTATCTGTCTTCACTATCCCATGATTTTATTATGTCTCCTCTTATCTCATGTATCTTGAAAAGTTATTAAAATGTTTTAAATGAATGTGGACAATGATAATGCTCTGAACAACAGGTTTTATGCCTTCTAGCTCCCTCTTAAGTTTCACCCTCTATCATATTTGTTCCCTCATCTAACTCTTTTTGCCATTTGAACTGTGAGCTTCTGGAGGCCAAAGACATGGCTTATTCATTAGTTTACTCTCCAAAGATAGAGGTAATATTAAACAACATTCAACACATGTTTGCTCTACCTGCAATATTATTTGAATGCACCAAATATAACAGAGTGCGAAGGCCAATAGAAGATGTCAATAGAGGGGATCAGAAACAGCTTTAAAAACCAGTCATTTTCACTTAGAATTTTCAATTCTAAGTATTTTCATTGTTCCTTTCAACTAAGTTTATAGAGTCCACATTAAACATTCTGTGGAGCTCTGAACATTAAAATAACACATTTCAAGAAAAAAAGTGTTATTTGAACCTATAATTTCCAAAATGAAAGAAAATTAGACTCTATTTTCCTTTCTAATGCTGTATATACCAAATTCTAACTTGATAATTAATAACCTCTTTGCTCCTATCCCGAGCTCATCCAACTACTGTTTATTTTTATAAGTCAGTTTGAATTCTTTGTGGAAGGAATTAGGTATATGTATACATATATACACTTGTGATTTCAGTGACAAATGAAAAGGTAATCTGATTTTTCAGTTAATTTTCAAATGGAAAAAAAAAATGAAAGATACCAGCTGTGTTTTCTTTAAGCTTTAAATCCTATGTCCAAATTCTAAAATTCACAAGACATCAATGTGTAGTATAATTCTTTTACTGTACCTGTATATGCAAATTGAACAAGATCCCAGAGGGCATTGGGGTCTATGCCTTCCATCTTGATCTCCTCTTGCTTGGCTTCACAAACATCACTTGTAAACATGGCAGCAAAGTAGTCCGAGACTGAGCTCAGAACAAGCCTAGAAGAATCAAAGGATCTAATTTAGGCCATGAATACAAAACATCAAAATGCTAAGTGTCAACAATCACGCAGTGCAGAGGACTCTATCATCTATCTATCTATCTATCATCTATCAATCTATTTATTGCTTTATAGATTGTACTTTTAAAAACTGATTTAGAAAAATTTTCTCCAACCTTTGGTCACAGAGCATTCTTCTACATTTTCTTCCATCATTTTTAATACACTTTTCCTTTCACATTTAGTTTTTCCATCCTTTTAGATAGGAATCAATTTTTATTTCTCTCTACGCACTCATTCACTTTTCACCACACTATATATTAAAGGATTCGATTTGTACCAGTGAATTAATGATGTCACCTATATCATCACTTTGAGTTCTGAATGTATACTGATCTGTCTCTGAGATTTCTAATCTTGTTTTGCTCATTTGCCTGTTCTTATGACAATACAATATTCTTTTGTATACATATGATATATAGTTTTATATCTATCTATCTATCTATCTATATATACATATATATATATATATATAACTTATATATATATAGTTATAAATATATAAATAATATGATTCTAAATATGTCTTTATATCCATTAAGGCAAACCTTCCCTCTTTAATTTTATTTAACTAGTAGCGGAATTTCATTCTTCATGTAAAATTTCAAGTAAGTTTATCAAAAATACTCTGAATTTTTTATTTTATTTAGGAATGTGTGGTATATTTATCATGTACAGTCATCTAGTACAAAAGTATAAAATGCCTCTTCATGTATTTAGGATTGTGTTTGATTATATCTATTTAAATTTTTAAGTTTTCTCAAAAGTTGTCTTCAGTATTTTTGGTTGATTCCTATATGTTTTACAGTTTGGTTTTGTTAGTATTGTGTATACTAAGTTTATTTTTTAAATGCTATTTTCTTGTAGGTTTTTGTTGGTTTAGAGTTCATTAGTTGAAACTTTCATAGATCCATCTTTCATATGACACGTTTACTGAATCATCTTACTAGGTCTTTTGATTGTGCTATTTTTTCCTCTATGTAGATGATTATATTATCTGCAAATAATCTCATGTTGCCCTGTTCCTCATTCTATAATACTTCTTTTCTTTTGCTTTCTTTAAAACCTCATCCAGGACTTTCGGTTCTGTGTTAAACAGTAGCTGTGTCAGGGAAAAAAATTTGTGGTTTTTTTCTATCTTGTAAAGAATACGCTTAACGATTCTTCTTGTAGTAGAATGTTTGTTTACCAAGTCAGGAAAACCCCTTTAATGTCTAGCATTGCTAAACACTTTTATAATATATGGATGTTAAAATTCATAAAAAGTTTTTTTTTCTCTGAATCAAAATTGCCTTTAAGAGTTTTCAATTTATAGTCATTAATAAAATTAACCTTTAATTTTATTTTTTTGTATTTTCTTATCTGAATCTGGAATCAAGACTGTACAAGCCTTCGCCTTTTGAGCTCCTTTTGCTTGGCCTGCTCCAAACTCTGTGGAGTATAATTTCCCTTCTATAATGGCCCTTGAGCGATTTTCTACTGCTCGGGCCCACTTCTATTTCTTTGAAGTGCACTATCTCTTCTAATAAAGTGCTCTTTCATCACATTAAAAAAATAAATAAAATAAAAGATTATACAAGCCTCATAAATAAGTTGGCAGCTTCAATTCTTTTCAATTTTGTATAACAACTTATAGAAGAAATCTTGATTTGGCTATTTTGGGGAAAAGTGACAGAATAATCCTATTTCAATTATTGAATAAGCCATGAAACTTATTTATATGCTCTCTTTCTTCTTCATCAACTTTTGCATTTTACAGTTTTTAATAATTGACCCATTTTACCCAAGCTCTGAAATGTATTAATGTATATTGTTCATAAAATTTTGTTTGGGTTTAGTTCTATCAATTTCTATTTATTTTCATTTCCTCCATTTGTTCTTTTGGGTTAATCATCTTATTGTCTTTTGTTTTATCTTATTCATTGACATGTTAACTATATCTTTTTCTTATGTGTATGTGTGCAATTTTTTTTCAAGTGGTTCTCTTGATTAGGGACCAGATTTTTTTTTCTATAAAAAGCCTGTTATTAAGTATTTTAGGCATTGAGGCATTGAGAGCCATACGTATAGTCTCTTTCATATACTTTCCTTTTGAAAATTTTTTAATTGATTAAAAATACAAAGGTGAGTTTTAGCTTATGATTCATACAAACAAGATGAATGCCATAGTTGGCCGCAGGATAGAAGTTTGCTGACTCTGTTTAGAGATTACAGTATTGATCTTTAATAATGCTCTAGCATCAAATATAATTATACTCTTGATGAATATTATAAGAACCTTATAATTCTGTTTATCCCCTTTCTGCTCAGTCAAGACCATTTTTAAAGGAGAATATACATGTGAAAGTAAAAATTTATATTATATTTACTCCTTTTTTCACCTTTTCTGGGGCTCTATTGACTTGTGCAGAAGCAGGCTTCAATCTGGTAACAATACCCTTCACCTGAAGACATTTCTTTAGTATTCTTTGTAGTGCATGTGTGATGACAATAAATTACCCCAGCTTTCATTTATCTGAAAATGTCTTTATTTAGCTGCATCAAAAGTATCTTATAAAAGTTATTTTCACTTGCTATAGAATTCTAGATTGAGACAACTGTTTTGCTTTGTTTTTCCTTTGGGACTAGAAAAATAATATTTTATTATGATCTAGACTCCATTGTGACCAATAGAAAATCAGCTTTCCTTCATATAGTTGTTTTCCTAATGCACTACGTCTTTTATCATTAATTGTTTTTATTTATTTTTTTTTATCTTAGGATTTAAGCAGTTTAACTTTGATATTTCTATTGTAGATGTGGTTACTTAATATTTACTCTGCTTATAATTTTCTGAGCTTCCTAGAGGAGTGAATGGATTTTTTTTTATCAAATTTAGAAAATTATCTGCAAATAGTTCCTAATTCTTTTCACCCAATTTACTCTTCAAACTGTTTCTATAACTCCAATTAAATTTATGTTTTTATAATTGAGAGTGCCTCACAGGTTGTTGAGTCTCAGTTCATTTTTCTCATAAGGTTTCTTTTACTCTGTGTCTTAATATGGATCATTTCTAGTGACTTGAATTTTTCCAAATCTTTCTTGATATTCTCATTTCCCTATTTATTATACTCTTCTTTTCCTATAAATATTTTAAATTATTTTTCATAGTTGTTTTAATGTCCTTTACTGATCATTTTAACACCTGGATCAGCTCTATGTTAATTTACATTGACTGATTTTACTCTTGACAATGGATTATATTCTCCTGCTTTTCTCCATGTATTGTAAATTTCAATTGTATAATGGACATTATGACAATAAAAAAAAGTTGAGGCTAAAAAGGGATCATCACTCTAGCGTTTAGTTATTTATAACAGCTCTTTAATAGTTTTAAAGAAAAAGTATAAGTATTTCATTTTTTGGTGAGTTTTTTTGTCATTTTAATGGAAATAAGATTTTTCATGTACTTTAAAACCTTGTAAAGACATAAATTTAATAAACATTGGGTAAAACACTTAGCAACATATTATGATTCTAAAAAAAATAGAGAACTATAAAGAAGTACATTGTAGTTAAGAGGTGTGTTTTTCACAGTTGTTTGAATTAAAAATTCTGGAACTTCTTTCTGTTTAGAGTAGATTAGAGGAAATTAGTACATTCTTGAGTGTTATCAGGAAAAGTTTACTCACTGATGGAGAATAAAGTTACAAATGTAGAAGAGGAGAAGACTAAAAATAGAAAAAAATCCTATGATGTCAGACTGAGATTGGAGGAGGTATCAGTGTAAATTGATAGTGCTTAATATTAAACAAATGGAAACACTTAGTTTTTGTGTATGCATGTAAGGGTGTACATGTGCATGTACATTATGGGCTCCTTGCAAAAAGAACAGACCACAGGGCTAGAAAAATTCTTTCTAAATTATTTATTTTGCAATTATATCTGCTATATATTTTGTTTCTATATAATGTAAGTCAAGGTTATGGTGAACATTGACTTCCACAAATAGAGACATTCCTTCTTATAACAACAACAAAAATCTTTAATATATACATTATGTACTTAAGAAGTACTTTATGTGATCCATGATTTTAACTATTTTATTGATATCAATGTCTATAGTGATAACATGTTAGAAATATCTGAAGTTATCATTTGTGACACAATTAATTGGGCAGTTAGTAACTAAACATGTCAACTCTACATTCTCATAGACTAACAAAACAATTAAGGAATAGCTATCTTCAAATATTTATTATATACCAATCAGATAAATCAGTCAAATGATCAGTTTTAACATAAGAACTACTAAATATTATATAACAGTATAATATGAAAATAAACTGTAATAAACCAGAGGGATGTATATCTTTGCTAGAGCATAATTATATTGACCTAAAATTAACCATTTTAATTTTGCACATATAAAGGCTTGATTTGGGGGAAAGGGGGACATTAATTCAATCTTAAAGAATTACATAAAATCTTCTCAAGCATCTATAACAAAACTGCTAACTCAGTAAGAGAAGTGCAGAAAAGTTTATACTGCATTCGGATTTAGTGAGACATAAAACTTGCATTCGATTTTTAGAAGAGGGATGTAATGAATAACAGAAAGTAATATCTTTATATGAGCATAGATAGCTTCTATTAACGCAAGGGAAGCAGGAGCCAAAAATTGCAAATAGAAGTGGATACATGCAGCCACTCTGGAAAATCTCTTATTGAGTCACGACAAACGTATTTCCTTCGAAAGCTATTAAACTTTTCTAAGTCCATTCCAGTTTAAGGTGGCGGTTCACATCGCTAACCTCCCACGCCGTCTTTAAATCCCCCTTTTAGCTAAGGCAGAGCACGACTTTCTTCTCTCAGCTGACCCCTGATTCACTGACTTCGCTTCCTACTCAGACTCCTTGACCCTCTCATTGCTCCAGGTTTTCAATCAGCCTTCTCAAT